AACTCAAACAATCTAAAAGTATATCTCCATTAATGAAAAGTGTTGTGGCAGTGGTCAAAGTGGCCTTATCAGTGCCAACTCCCGTTGTCGAACGAAGGTTGGGGGGAGGGGGGGGGCGCAAAACACCGCCGAACATAAAAACGAACATTAGGGCGCAGGCATTTGGACGCGGACATTAGGACGCAGACATTGGGACGCAGACACTGATGGGGCGCGGACATTAGGACACAGATCCTAGACTAGGACTAGACGTTGTAGCGCATACACAGATGAAATAAGTAAAATAACATGGTTTACTTGTTATACCTTTTATTTTCCTACCCGTGATCTAATCTCTGCTTTGTATGGTGATCTACATGATGCTTGCGTTCTAATGTCCACGTCCCGTTGTCCGCGTCTCAATGTCTGCGTCCTAATGTCCACGGCCTATCGTTTGCGGTCTATTCCCTTTGCGGTCTACTGCCTTGCAGTCGCAATGCCATAGCGCCGTGATTTCGTTTCAAAGGCAAAAATTTGTTTGGTAAATTTTAGAGCAAACCGTCTTTTTCATAATTTTTACGTTTTGCGTTTTTATTCAGTACTTGCCTTACATGATATGTAGCAAAATATGTTGTTAATAGTTTTCATCATTTGAAATCACTTAATGGAACTTTCTCGGAGCACGGAGTGTACCGCGTCGTTCTAAAGGCTTTCTATTGGCCAATTTGAATTATTTTGAATATATAATTCTCAACTATTACAATTAGCAAAATAATTAATTCTACTGCTGTTTTAATTAATTTTATATACATTCGTCTTCGTCCTATAAAAGGAATAATTCTTATCACCCAACAATGCTGTTTGTATGTTACGACACTGGCAGGCATGTCTTGGTGACAAATGGTCACAGTTTTATTGAAAGTATTACCTGTCCTCTCTCTTTTCTAGTCTAAGGCTATAGACATATTCAGGCTGCACTACAGCACTTGATTAAGAAAGCAGACTCGTCCGCCATTTTGGAGCCCACTGACAGTCTGTCAGATATTACGCTGTGTTGCTTGATCGTTATGTTGTGTTATGTTGCCAAGGTAACTTACTGTCATGAGAAGTACGTGTTTTGCAAGCGTCAATTGTCAGTGGGCTCCAAAATGGCGGACGAGCCAGTTGTGGTATATATAGGTAGTAGCTATAGACTACACAGTTACGTCACCGTCCGCCCCGTCAAAATTTGTAAACGAGAATATTTTACGTTTCGTTGACGATGCGGTAACGGAACGGTGACGGTACGTATAGATGAATCGCGCTGCATGCCAATGTGAAAAGAGCTACGTCAAAAATGAAGTTTGTTCCCAACAGGAAACTGTATTTTAAGAAAGCGGTTTGGGTTCTAACATTGAATTCTAAAGCACTAACGAAGCACTAACGATTTATAAAATTTGATGCAAATTGGAGTCATTGTCCGGGAAAACGTGAAGTTGGCTCGAATCAATAAAAAATTTATTCTGAGAAAACTGTTCGGGTCCTAACGTTAAATTATGAAGCACCAACAAGCACTGACCAAGCACTAACGATTTACAAAATTTGATGCAAATTGGAGTCATTGTCCGGGCAAACGTGAAGTTAGCCCGAACAAATAAAAAAGGTATTCTGAGAAAACGGTTTGAGCCCTAACGTTGAATTATGAAGCACTAATAAGCACTAACAAAGCACTAACGATCTACAAAATTTGATGCAAATTGGAGTCATTGTCCGGGCAAACGTGAACTTGACCCGAACAAAAAAAATTTTTATTTTGAGAAAACGGTTTGAGCCCTTATGTTAACTTATGAGGCACTAACGAGCACTAACAAAGCACTAACGATCTAGCATGGTGCGATGCCGCCGGGCTATTTTATCCAGGCCAACTTCACAGACATATCGCGTTCAGGATTTTCTTGTACATGATGATTACCAACGCCAGTGGCGAACGATCATTTTCAAAGCTCAAGCTAATTAAAAATCAACTGAGGAACAGTATGAGTCAGATGAGATTAAAACATTTATCCCTAATGAGTATTGAAAATGATAGAAATTGATTTTAACAATGTCATCGAAAACTTTGCGTTACTAAAGGTCCGAAAAAAACCAGTCTATGTAAAATAATTAAATCTGTAAAATATCTGTTTTTGTTTAAAAATATTTTTATTGGGGGTAAGGGGGGCCTCTACGAACGAATGGCCCAGGGCCTCGAAAAACTTAAAAACGGCACTGCCCTGTAGTGAAGTTGCGCTAACATTAGCTAAGTTAAATGGAAATTCCCCAAAGCGATTGGAACATAATTCGTAATTTTTATAACGTAATTAAAGCGGCATTCGCAATATGTACATGAGAAAATATTACGTTTGCGCTATCTATAACAAATAAACAAATCTACCACCCCTACATGAATTATTTAAAAATAGCTAAGACCGATATTCCAACTTCATTATTGCAAAGAATATCCACTATCCAGAATTTATAAGACTTCAACTACAAAAGCATCATTTTATAAGAACGTTTGACCTCTTTTCCAATATGGCGGATTGACTCTGGTAAAAACATGAAAGAACTGGGGAACATGAAGAATAAAGATATCGATAGGTACTTATAGTTATAGAAAAAAGGTTTTATCGACCTGTACCTTAAAAAAGTGCGTAAAACTTGACCGTTAGTACCACCACAGATAAATTGGGTATTTTATCTGTGGTACCACGAATGAGTACGATTACTTGCATTTGGAAAACTTTAGAAATTCCCTTTATCGGTGTAGGTGTGGCAATCTCCTTTAATTGGAATCCGACAGTCATTTTAGCCAGTCGTAAAGTGTATAGCAGCTATTACAGTCTATCGCTCTTTTAGGAGAGTTTTTCAGAAAGTTCTGCGTTTTGCAAGTAACTAGATTCCACTTTGGGTTTCACTTACATATCATATCCAAAATAGGTAAGTAGGTACTTTCAACATTGTTAACAAGAGCCAAAGCAAATGTATTCTAATAATAAACGTGTAGCAGTTCCTTATCTAGCAAACAGTTTACATTGCTCTTCAGTGATAAATAAATTGTTAATATTAAAATTGCAGTAACTCTATAATGGCACCCGCATACAAGCTGAAATATTTTCCTTCGAAAGCTTTGCGGCCGGTAAAGTGACAGGCGGCAGGAAAAGTAGACTGGTCTGTCTCCGTCATGGAAACTAACACTTTCCTGACATAAAGTAGGCATGAAAATGAAGGTTTCATGACGATTTTGGGTAAATATTTTTTTCTTCAAACGTCATATAATATTGACATTACGTAGCCCAGTACTCTGAGTTAAAGTTTGACTTTTTAGAACAATCGAACAAGCGGCAGTGAAGTATTTTAGTGCCTAGGCAATAAAACGCTTCAGTGCCAGTGTCACATTGTTTTGCTTTGACAAGTTGATGTTATTTACATTAGGTTCTTGGTTCACCTAGCAAGTGCGTTGATCTTTCCTTCTGATTTTAACAGAAATAAAAATATAGTCGATCAAAGAAGCTATTTATTTATTTAAATAATAGTTAATGTTGAAAGTTCAGTTAGTCATATTACCATTATTGAAATTAAACCTTCGTTCCTGCAGCATCCAAGTTTTGAAGAGTCAAGTTTTGTTTGGCTCGTCTTATTTCTAATGAATGAATGAAGTATTTTCAAAAAACTGGATTGGTTTCTGCTTCAAATGAAGGAGTAGTTGAAGTCATTCCATCTGATAAACCTGGATTTTCTAAAGTTGTCGAAAGTATTTTTTGTGCAATTTCATTTTTATTTGAAATCGAAAAACTCATCCACAATTAAAACGTCAAAACTAATAATGGCCAACTATAGCAATTGTTATAGTCACCACGGCCGACGCGCTCACGGCTACCCATAACGATCGGGTTAATATTTCTTCCGATTTGAAAACCATTATTTGGGCGTTATTCTCACGTTTGAAGAAAAAATAGCATATATTATGCGGAGCTAAAGTAACTTTTTATGGCTCGTCAGTATTTTGCTGGCCTCGCTTCGCTCGGCCATCAAACACTGACTCGCCATAAAAAGTATCACTTTAGCTCCTCATAATATAATATACTATTATTTCATACTATCTAGTAATCGCCGCTTTCCCTGACCCATTTGAGTCTGGTAAATCGTATTTTACCAGACTGGAAATGTTGCCTAGCAACATCAACTGACATCCATATAAACCTAAATATATATTATTGTGTCAAACTAATGTCAGATCAAACAAATCAAGTGATCCACTTTTACTTTCATTTGAATGCGTACAACATTCTAATCAAAAATTGTATGGCATTTTCATAGAAAAAAGAGCAGTATGAAATAAATTATTTTTATTTTATTTAAGGTGTGGATTGTTCACACAAAGAATGCACTGTCTTGTTGACAAGTGACATAACCTAAATCGTTCAAAACTAGATTTGGCATTATTGCATAGTAATTACGTCACAGAAAATGATGACGTGCAACGGAAGTTATACGGAATAAAGTGTAGTTATTTACATATGAGTATGGTAAATCAAGGTTTACGTTAACGAGTGAGATGAGGAATTTCGAAACGAGTAACGTTAACTGATTTAACATACAAATAATGTAAAACATTTTTTACTATTCATTTCGTTAATTGGAACCACAATATACATACAATATACTTTAATAACTTATGAACTGTACAAATGTAGCATCTCTTTTACAGAGAAAGTACTAAATATAAAATTTTACAGGTTATGTGATGTGATGGATGATATTCAAATTAATCGGAATCATCGGAACTGCTTTCGTGTTCAAAGTTTATAATAATAGTAGCAACGTTTTCAAGATCTAATTGCTTTTCTCTTTCGTACCACTCGTGTATTACAGTTTCCGTATCCTTAACTGAATTGCGCCACGTTTCGGAAGTTATCGGTTGTAGTGTTTCTTGTCACATGTTTATGCAATTTTCAATGCTTCGTCCATCTCTACCCATGTGTCGATTGTAGTAATTTTTCGCTATGCCCCAAATATGTTCGATAGGATTAAAAACGCGATGATAGGGTGGTAATCGTAAAACGAAGTAACCGTATTGCTCGGCTAAGTGGTCAATGCGTTATGCGATACATTTTAGTTGATTTATTCCTAAAAGTATCAACAAGATTTAGATAATACCAAATAATTTGCGAACGTACTTACTGTGCAACCTTTTCAACAGTTCGGCTTTAAAATCATTTTCGGAGAACACATTATGATCTCCTAACCACACTTTAATGTTGTCTATTTTCCCGTTATCGAACACAATTACTGACGGGTTATCAAAATTCTTCAGTAATTACTCTTCAAACCAATGCACAGCGAAAGACGTAGAAAATAATCAAAATCAAATCAAACGAAAAGTAAACCAAAAGCAACCTGTCAAATTTACAAATTTAAACGCGACAACATAGCGAAATCCTACCAATTGTTGCGGCCAAAATAAACTACAAGCTTAATGTGTTGCCTAATAAACGAAAGTAAATTTACGTTGGTACGTCGTTTTCTTCAGGCAATGACGTGCAACGGAAGATATACTGAATAGACCGTATTACCCAAAATAGTCCTGAAACCTTCGCTTTTGCCTACTTTCTGTCAGAAAATTTTAGTTTCCATGACAAAGGCAGAGCAGACTACGTTTCCTACCGCTTGTCACTTTATTGGCCGTAGGTACCTGTCACTTTACGGGCCGCATTTTTGACATTTGCAAATGTCTATAATAGCTCCTGTCATCAATGACAGATTGACCTTAATCAAAAATTATATAAAAATTGAAATTAAAAACATGGAAACCAGTGAATTTTGTACCTTTGAATATTATAGTAAACATCAGATGTATATAGTTGCGTTGCTGAAATCTCATTTGACCTCTTAGGTCTTTCTATATATGTAATATCAAACAAAACGACAGAATGTTATGCTTATTCTCAACCTTATCTAATCCTCGTCACTGTACTCTTGGGAATCAGAGAAACGTGAATCTGTATTATCACACATCACGAGTTTTAAACAGAAAAGTAAATCGCTACATATGCGCCTGCACTAATACCTGTAGTGCAGCGGAGAGCCGGCGCTAACTCGCTTATTTGAGGTAGTTTTTTTTTCGGAGTAGAAAGAATTGGGACCCACACCATTTTGTTCAGAAATGTTTGAACCTTCAGAATCTCGCTTTACGACATTTTCCCGTGGTCCTGACAAAAGTTATAGGCCGCTAAAGTTGAAATTTACTCATTTTCGCGCGCGCGACTAGACCACCGAAAGTATTTATTTTCTCAGCAACTAAGCGATATACATCAATAATTCCTTTTGTAAAATGAAAGTACATTTATATCAGAATCTAAAGCATTCAATTTACCTACCTTGTTATGGACAGTTTTTAGAAAAATGACCGTCAACTTCCAAAATTCGTGTAGCAGATGAAAAGTGCGCACTTTTAACTCTCATAACTTTTTATTTCACGATATCGATTTCCAATATTTATAGCTCATTCGATGCTCCAAAGCATTGTGATTATTTTATTTTCTATAACATTACCGTGAATTTTTCATAATAAAAAAGTTACGGTCATTTAAGTAAAAACCTACCGACCTCGCCGAGTCGGTAATCGCGAGTGAGCCGGAAAGGGAAGGATAGTCAGCAGCGTTCGCTAAACAAGGAGCGATGCGTAAGAGATTTTACTTTACTAAGAAATTTCTCTCCGAATACCAAAACTAGCTATTTAGGCCGAGATTTAGGCCGTTTAGTTTACAAATGCATTCCGCCGAGTTGCATTGTAAAATCTTAACAATTCATTAACTCCATGTATCTCAGTTCTTTGGTGAAATATATAGGTACAAATAGGTACCTTTCCCTGTAAATTTTGGGGGTTACTCCACATCAGGTATCTCTTGTGCTGTGCTGTATATTGCAAGATCAGCAGTAACAACGGTATGATTTTGTCCCAAAGATTCAGGCTTGTTTTTTGATTTCACTAGACGATGGTTAGGATGGTATTGTAGCTCGCTGGTGGAGAATTCAAAAACGGCATAGGTATATTATATTGAATGGTAGATACCGGAACTTACTTAGGAGGATTATCAGCAGGTACTTAGGCTGTTAAAGTCAGTTATCTGGTCGTTATCTAGTGATAGGTAAACCTGGTGGTCAATCATTTCTAGACATGCCGTCTGCATGATCTCGAATTTAAACTTAACTTAAATAATTTAAATATGTAGTCATCTCAATAGTTTCAAAACTTTTATGAGTTTATTTTTTCCCCCCGGTTCTTTTGAAATGTGTTAAATTCAACTTTCAACTTTTAATGTAATAATTCAACCCTCCGGTTGGTTGTCTTGTCTTAACAAGGCATGATAATAATTCGTTTTGAAACTTAGGACAACCTTTCCGGTTTAACCACCCTTCAGGTTTTTTCACTTGGCTTCGGCCAGGTAATAATTAAAAAACAACATGTTCGTCTTATTCGTCTTCAACGTTTGTAACTTACCGTTTTCCTGTTAAATTTCACATCGCCTGATGATGGCAGTACGCCGAAGCTATAGTCGCTTTTATTTTTAAAAACTTCAACGAATAAAAACTATATGGGGAAGGTTTAGAGAGTTTTGATCACACAATATATTTCAACCCCCATTTCGAGGAACGATGGATCCAAACACACACAAAATCCATGTATTCGTTTAGGAGCCACCCTCAAAAAAGTGGTAAAGTTTCTTTTTTTCTCAGCAACAGTTACAGAGACTGGTGGTAAGTCTTTGAATAGGTTTTGCTGTATGCCCTTTCCGGTTTTGCAAATAATTTTTCAAAATTCCTACCGCAAAAGGACACACCCCTCAATAGGGGTGCGAAAAAATGTTGATTTCGACGAAATTTGGTATCTGGTGGTTTTTGAATCTGAAATTAGTTTTTGAAAATTCGAAAAAAATAATTCCACTGCAATTCTTGGCCGGACAACGAAAATTGACAAAATTCCACGAAGTTTGTTGTCTAGGTACATACTTACGGAACAAAATTATTGAACAGTTTTTCTTAAGGTCATTTTTCAAACAAAAGTTACACTCATTTGCAAATTGGTCTTTCGGGTCAGAAAATGTTCTCCGACAGTGGCATAACAAGTACAGTAAACGTCAATATTACATGTTCTGCTAAGGGTGTCTACCTACATTTCACAAAAATTTGTCAAATAAAAAATGATAATTTTATCACAGCGAGCAACTTCGACATCAATGAGGAAACAGTCACAGAATAAGAATAAGTAGACCATATTCTGTGGAAACAGACGAAAAAAATTCAACGCACAGTCTTTTTTCAAAAGCGAGATACATCGACAGAAGAAATCCAAATTCCTCGTTTACCTATCACTATAGATAACGACCAGATAACTGACTTTAACAGCCTAAGTACCTGCTGATAATCCTCCTAAGTAAGTTCCACTGAAATTGTGCAAAGTTTGTTTAATAATTATATTGGTTACTATGATTGTAAAAGCTCGGAAATTTAAGTCGAAATAAATTACATTGCAAAAATAAACTTTGAAAATGGTAGTTCACCGAATAAAAAATAGAAATAGGCGGGGAAAAAAAGAACTTACCAATTAAAAAACCAGCCGTCAAATTAATATTAAATTGTGGTAAACATCAAGAGGTAACATATAGGTTAAAACAAGTTTTGGGAATTATGGGTCAAGTAAGCAGGTACCAAGATTCTAAGAAAGAGTGAAATACACAGGATGTGACTCGTCCTTTTGTTAAAAGCAAGATGGAAAATTGTAGGCAAATTTAACTATCGGTAAAAACATGTGGAAATTATTGAATTATCGCACATAGATTCTAAACCGAAGAGCTTTGATTAGCGTAATCCCGCTTCGGCAAGATATGTAACCCGCCCCTGGTTTCGGGGTTTCGAGCGTACAGTTGAGTGTCGAAGACAATCACGGAATTAGGTATCGTAGCTCAAATGGTTACAGTTTTGTTACCACTCCCGTGACTGCTTCATTCACGGAGAAAATTGTTAGTTACAAACAACAGTCATGAATCATCATACATTAAACGAATCGGTAATTTCCACATATTAAAATAAAATGGTCAAAACTTACATGAATGTTACTTCAGAGACAAGACCAAGTAATCAACATCAATAAACATAAATTAAGCAAGCATTACACCAAAAACGTAAACAATTACAAACAATAGCATAACGGTAGCACATATGTGATTCTGCATTGCGGTTAAATCAAGAAAATTTCAAAAACAAAGATTCAAACACATTAAAAAGTATAAAATACGGCATACAAAACACAAATACGATATAAAAAAATGCAAAAATTACTACCTGCATTAAATAACACAAAATAACAAACAACATTTATGGAGCGACGCGTTCACGACCTCCATTCAAGACAAGATGCCAAACATGTGTAACCCACGTTCCTGCCTTCTAGATGGCGCAGGCAACTTTTCCTTACCCAGAAATTGCATGGTTGCCTACTCTTAAGAATGTGTGCATCGTCGTAAGTTGTATATACAGGGTGAAATCTCTCAGGCTCAATTCTAATGTTCGCTCCAGGTACCATTTGGGCATGCTACGCCACTGATCGAACCTGGCGTTGCACGCCCCCTTGACCACGGACCCATTCAAGCACCACAACCACAAGGTTAATTCAATTTGTACCAGTGCATACGATTATATAGGCTTTGGCTAGGGTGGAAACAATTATGCAATCCTCTTATTCAATTTCGTGGTTTTCAAATTAAATTGGATAATTTGGCGATAAAAATTGGAAATCTTGACCAAACCATTTAGTAAATTTGTCCCTAAAAAGTTGCAATTTGTATAAAACCACTAATTCAAGTAAAACTGTATAGGTAGGCAACACACCATACATTTAAATTTTGCTCTACGTAAAAGACTTTAATAGACACTACCTACTTTTTATTTATGCAATTGTAATTGTAAAAGTTACTTTTTCCGTTTATTCAAATTTCTACCTACTCGAGCAGTACTCTCGTGAAAAACGTGATTGATATGTTGCCTATACCAGCCATAGCTATCTGCACGTCTTTCGCAAGGGTGGTTGCCTGGATTTGTTGTAACAAGGTAAATAATACCTCGCTCATTTTCCCGTTATAGTTAAAAATTGATAAATTATATTTATAAACATAATAAATCCCCTCTTGAAAGATGAAACCGTTAGGCAGCGATTTATAATCTAAACTGAGCGGAAGACCGGAAGTTACTTCTCGATTTCCAATTGGCTACAACAAACATCATACAATTGGCTTAGGTCACGTGAACTGTGTATCATATTCATTTTTCTTCAGTCGTTTGGAGGCTTGTGCTGTGTGTGCTTGTCTTCTTCGCGATCACAATTTTCGGTAAGTCCTATATCAATTTATTGCAAAGCGTGTATTCACAATTTACGGAAAAGGTGCCAATTAATTAATAGGCCCTATCTCAAGGCCATGTCAACACGTGGTTGCCGAAAAGATTGTATCTATTGATATTGAAATGCGCACATTTTCATAGAATGCGTCTGCATTATCTAGCTAGATAATCCGTTGACCGGTCCCCGGCGGGGAGGGCTAACCGGTGTTGTCTTTCAAGGCGTTTAAAGCAAAGCGTTCTCATTCAATTGAATAGCCAATAAGAACAGTCATATCAATTGCAGGGCAAATTGTAATGGCAATTTTCATTCTTTTACAATTACGATGAACATTTATTATTCATTTTTCTGCCTGTAACAATAAGCCGTTAGTGGGTGGACCAAGCAAATCTTGACACTTTTCTTCCTAGACTTTTCTATAAATTAATCGTGTCGCGAATTTGAAATGAATTTGCTATTAAGATGTTGGAATATTTGAACCAGAACGGATTTTTAATAAGGAAACTAAATCCTTGAATTAAAGAATAATTAGTACCCAAGTTGGTTTCGTGATTGTTTAAACAATTGCGTAATTATTTAAACAAATTTTTAATAAACATTGTAAATTTCAGTATTAATCTCAAAATTGTAAGACAGAATTTACACCTCCCAAACATGTCGAATGTAAAATTCCAACCCACTGCGGCGACGCATACGTGTATTATAGGGGTGGGGGGGTCGAAAAACATTTTTTTTACTAAAAGCGACGTCATAATTTTTTTACGTCATCTTGTACACATGTGCAAAATTTCACATTTTACGAGTATTTTTTTATTTTTCCCAGGGGACTTTGAAATAAACTCTGGCACCATTTTGTGATACGCCGTTTTATTGTTTTACCGTACAGAATTTCTTTTTTTTTTGCTTAATTGTTGTAAGAATGTAGTTAGGGTTGTTTTTAGGTAATGTTGTAATTGTATAAAATACAAAAGAAAGGGAAAGGAAATTTGATTGGGCTCAAAAAAGCACCAATATATCGATAGTCTGTTTTTTAGTGAATTTCATCGTATAGGTTGGTAAAATAAAAATGCTTTTTTTCACTACTAGCGTCTGATGCCATGATTATTAACCTTTTTTCCACTTGTAAAGTAGGCTTTCTCAGCATTTGTTCAAAGTGGTTAATAATGTGGACATTATTAACTAGTAGTCAATAATGAGAACTGTCACGCTGTCACTTTTAGAAAACACAACCCGAAATTTCGCTCAATAAACGTTTAGACAAGTTCTCTAAAATGAATAATTGCCACCATCCGCCATTTCCAGAGAAATTACATACCTAAAATTATCACATTTTGAAAAAATTCGAACGAAATTACTCTTTGAAAATATTTCAATGACAGAACAAAATGCGGCCTGTTTGACTTGTACTTCCGCGTACTTGATTGACATGTTAAATTAATAAACAAAAAATTCTGTCCAACCGTTCACTTTCTTATCAATATAATATGTTAATTTAGAAGACTTCAAGTGCTAGTAGTGAAAAAAATAGTATATATACCACGGTAGAGAAGTCTATTATTGCCTTCGCACCTTACACCCCTCGGCGCAAGCGCCTCGAGATGTAATCTTCGTGCTCAGGCAATAATAGTCGACTTCTCTACCTTGATATGTAATGTACTATTAAGGCTTCGCTAGCGTAGGTTTATTTCGCACAAATTCCCCCGAAATCGGGTATTTTTGTCTTCATATCTTCGGTGCATAATATACAGCGTGTTTTAAATTGTGTAAGATAACATGGCTTTGTTATTATTATACTTACAATTTCGGTTAAATTGGCAAAGTTGTGTGGTTTTTTATGCTAATGGATATTGCGAATATTTTGAACAACAATTCATTTCGTAGATAAATGGAAAAACGTGAAGATCGCCAATTTTCAAAAGTTCAAAAGAGAGCTATCGATAAAATTAAAAGTTACAAATAAAAGTTGCAAGATTCGATGGGATAAATTCAATGGACGTAGAAATTTTTTTTCGAAATTGGGGTTTTGGAGATATTGACAACCACTTCCTTATTTTAAATGGACGCCATATTGGATTTTATGTCATTTGATAGAGAAGAAAACATGCTAAATATAAAGAAATCGCAAATCATAGTTACAACTCTGTTACTTTTGCTGTTGAAACATTTGGACCCTTTTGTCAAAAAGCTTTTAATTTAATTAACGAAATAGGCTCGGAAATAGGATATAAACTGGGTAATGCTATTAGTGTTCCGGGTTCCATTCTTCGACAATGTAGTCTAGATGAAATATTTTATCTTTAATTAATATCCTTGTTACTTATAACATTTTTATGTACTTATTATGTAAATGCTTGTTCATACATTTTTAAGTACTACCTACTTAAAAAAGAGAGAAAATTACAAAACCAGTGATACACTTTTTTCATTTCATTCGGGAATCAACAGTGTATTTTTGCCTCGAAGTTTAGAATGTATTTCTTATGGCAATAATTCTATGGCTGATTATGATTGAAACCAAATTTGTTCGTTTATTGTCTCGCATAGTCATATCGACACGGCCATGGAATTATTGCCATAAGAAATACATTGTAAATTTCGAGGCAAAAATGCAAGGTTGATTCCCAAAGGAAATACTGAGAGTTTGGTATCACTGGTGTTGTAATTTTTTTCTCTATCGAGTGACGTAAAAATCCAATATGGCGTCCATTTAAAATGAAGACGTCTCGGAAGACGTTGATGTCAATATCTCGAAAACCGCCATTTTGAAAAAATAATTTTCTTCACCCATTGAATTTATCCCCGATTTATCCCATAGAATCTTCCAACTTTTATTTGAAACTTGAATTTGAACTAAAAATGTCGATTTTCACTTTTTTCCAATTATATCTACGAAACGATTTATTTTTTTCATACTAATTTTTGATACTAATGAATGATTCATTAGTATCAAAAACTACACTTGGCTACTTTGCCAATTTAGCCGAATCTGGAAGTATAATAACAAAGATAGCCGTGTTATTCTATTTACTTTAAGACACCCTGTATACCTACTGGGTTTTGGATAGTCTTGTTTCCTCGCTTGTTTCGTTCCATGCTATAGATGGCATTCGACGGCTACCTACCTATGTGTTAATTGTACACCAATTCCTTATCATTTACTTACATAAATAAGAAAGTTGCGATTTGCGCATGCGTAGAACGATTTTTACGCATGCATGTTATTTCTTTTCATTAACGGGTCCTACGATAGAAATTTTGTTCAAATTGCTCTATAAATAAGAAAGTTGCGTTTTGCGCATGCGCAGTACGATTTGATGCGCATGCGTTCTATTTGATTTGATTAGTGGAATCTACCATAGAAATTTTGTTCAAATTGCTCCATAAATAAGAAAGTTGCGTCATGCGCATTAGGATTTTTGGCGCATGCAAAATTCGATTCTAAAACGTGGCCGATTGATATAGGAATCCAATGTAAAAAACGGCATGGTTCTAGCCCCTGTAATTTCCGAATAAACGCCAAAATTACCATGTATAGGTAATGTGTGGAGGGGTAGGGGGGGGGGGCATTCGCCAGTTACGACGTCATAACTTGACCTCTATGCAACGGTGGGGGTGGGATGGGGGGTGAGCTCAATCGCCGTAACGTAGCCAACGTAAAAAACGACATGCTTCTAACTCTCGTCCTCGCTCTCGTCTTTTCCGAATGAACGCCAGAGAAGAGTGCAATTTATGAGCAATTTCGGGGGAATTTGCCCCCCCCCCGCCTCCCGGGGAGGTGGAGCCGGACCGAAAAAATTCGAGAAGTAGCCACCACTAACGGCTACAGATTCCGAAAGTACCGACCCCCTTTTTGGTCCAGGTCCCAACAAGCGGTTTTTTTGTGCTTTTTTTACACCTCTTTCGCCCCCCCCCCCCGCGCGGAGAGGTTGATAAAAAATTTACCCTATCCTAGTTATTCGACGCCCCCATCCTCGATACTCCCCTAAGCCGAGGAGTTGTCCCCCTGACTCTTTCCTTTTCCCTCTGGAGGGGGTTTTATTGGGAGAGGCGGGTGTTAGTCACGGGATTTGCTTCAGTTTCGCAAATGTCAATGTTCCATTCGTGAAAGACGTTTTACCAAATTATGCCTTGATTCCAAATTTTTATGGTAGGTCCCTTGATAAAATCGAACAAAACGCGTGCGCAAAAAATTTACTGCGCATGCGCAAAACGCAACTTCCTTATTTAAGGAGCAATTTAATCGACATTTCTATAGTAAGCCCCTCTGATAAAATCAAACAAAATGCACGTACAAAAAATCACACTGCGCATGCGCAAAACGCAACTTTCTTCTTTATGGTGTAATTTAAGCGACATTTTTATGTAGCTTCCTCTGAAACAGTAAACAAAAAGGAAGGGCAAAAATCGTAATGCGCACAACGTAACTTTCTTATTTATGGTGCACTTTAATCGAACTTACTATGGTAGGTTCCTCTAGTAAAGGCAAACAAAATGCATGCGTAAAGAATCGCATCGCGCATGCGCAATACGTAACTTTTTTTATTTGTGGTGCAATTTGAACGAAATTTTTATGGTAGCTCCTCTAGTAAGAGTAAACCAATTGAAAGAGTCTAAAATCATACTGCGCATGCACAATAGACAACTTTGTTATTATCGTTGAATGTACGCCTTACTTAATGTTGGATAACCAACGGTAATTATATTATATTAATGGAAAATATTGTAAACAACGACAATATAAAAAATATTCTTACCCAGATTAAGGATAGCAAAATCCCATTGATGTAAATACGTTAGAAAATTCATTTCGGCAATTTTGACTTGATACCTCAGCAGTTGAGGGCGTAGAACAAGAGGGACAATAAATAAATAAAATAAATTTCATGAGATTTCCACATCTTTCGTAAAGTAAGTGCCGGTCAACGACAAAAGCCAAAGTGATATTTTTCGTAAACTCTGTTACACTCTCACACTTGGTACACCTCCTAAGCA